TCAACGCTGGGGAAGCGTAAGGCATTGAGGTCAGCAGCAGCAGCAGCAGCAGCAGCAGCTGCTGCTGCTGCTGCTGCTGCTGTTGCATTTGCTGCAGCGGTCTCGGGGGTATGAACTAAAGGACCAGTCATGCCATCCTGCTGCTGCTGCTGCTGCTGCTGCTGCTGCGAGTCTTGGTTCTGCTGCTGTGGCTGTTGCTGCTGCACATCGTGCTGCTGCTGCTGTGGGTGCTGCTGATGCTGCTGTTGCTGCTGCTGCTGTTGCTGCTGCTGCTCCTCTTGCTGCTGCTGCAGTCGAGGGTCCCCTTCTGGCTGGGTGGGGCGAGATGAAAAACAGCAGCGGCTGCTGCTGCTGCTGCTGCTGCTGCTGCTTAAAGGCAGCAGTCTTTGCTGCTGCAGTGCACGAAGGCTGCAGCCGCAAGAGAAGCAGCAGCTCCAGTTACTGTATCCTCTGCTGCTGCTGCTGCTGCTGCACCAGCTACTGCCATATCTGCCGCTGCTGCTGCTACTGCTGCTGCTGCTGCTGCTGCTGCTACGCAGACAGGCGAGAGCTGCTGATGCCTTGAGGCCCTGCTGGCGCTGGAGGGCTGTTTGCTGCAGCAGCTGCTGCAGCTTGAGGATTGTCTTGCTGCTGCTGCTGCTGCTCATCCTGAACTTGCTGCCGCTGCTGTTGCTGCTGCTGCTGCTGCTGCTCTTGCTGCTGCTGCTGCTGCTGCTGCACAGCTACAAGCTGCAGCAGTTGCTGTGTGCCCCCAAATATCTTTTGTAAGAGCTGCAGCAAATGGGCATCTTATGATGGTCTCCTGCTTGTAGTGTCTTCAGCCTCAGCAGCAGCACTCTCTGCTGCTGCTGCTGCTGCTGCTGCTGTTGCTGCTGCTGCTGCTGCTGCTGCTGCTGCTGCTTGCATGACCCGCTTCAGCTGCAGCACCAAACATATCTCCACAGCAATTTTTTAAAAAAGAAAAAAAACTATTGAGGGTTCACTTCTTAGCAAAACCCAATTCCGCCTGAAGGCCCCCACGGGGCCCCCGAGGGGCCCCCCAGGGGGCCCCCCGCCCCCGCTCCTGGGGGGCCCCCCACCCCCCCCCTGGGGGGCCCCCCCGGGGGGCCCCCCTGAAACACAGAGGAGGGGGGCCCCTGTGGGGTTGTGTTGTGGGGGGAGTTTATGTCGATTGAAGCTGAAAAAGTATTGATGATAAATATTTGTTTTTATTTTGTGGGTGAGAGGAGAAAGAATAAAAAAAAAAACAAAAAAAACGAAACAGCCAGCTGCCCGCATAAACCCCTCGCAGTTGTCCTTTTGTAGCACCACACATAAGCTTGCTGCAGCAGCAAACACAGCTTTGCTGCAGCAGCTGCAGCAGCTGCAGCAGCTGCAGCAGCAGTGGCAACAAACCCTGGACTCTCACTCCAGCTGCCTCTGCTCAGCCCTCTGGGGCCCTGACCTTCTCAGAGGCAAATTGGGGCTGCATGCGATCGGCGAAAGAAAACTGTAAAAGCTGCTGCCACCTGTGACATGCTGTTGTTAGCTATAGCTAGCTGTAGCTAGCTATGGCTAGCTAGCGCCAGCTATTTCTGCCTGTAGCTAGTTAGTGTGTCGGTAGCTGTGGCTAGATTTGCCCAGCTGTGGCTATCTGTGGATATTTGTGGCTAGCTGCAGCTATGTATGGCTAGCTGTGGCTAGCTGCGGTACTTATGGTTAGCTGTGGTTAGCTGTGGTTAGCTGTGGCTAGCTGTGGTTAGCTGTGGCTAGCTGCACGGTGTGGCTGGCTTAGTGCTGCGGGGACGATGGCAGCGGCAGGCTGCAGTGTATAGCCAGAAAAAAGTTGCAGAGCCTGGATGTTCAAAGACAAAATATTTAAAGTGAAAGTTTCCTCACAAGAGCAGTGCTTGTTGCTGGTGCGGATGCTGCTGACGATGCTGCTGTTGCTGCTGCTGCTGCTGTTGATGATGCTGCTGCTGCAGGAGACGCTGAACATCTTCTCCGAGTCCATCGGGCGGTGAACCGACAGACAATCCAAAGACATGGAGACAAAAGACACAAAGAGACAGAAAAGTAGAGACAAAAAATAGAGACAGATAACTAGTCTGTCTCTGTTTGTCCGTGTCTATCTGGCTGTCTCTGTTTGTTTGTCTGAGTTTTCTCTCTCTATTTGTCTGTCTCCTCTGTCTTACGCCGCCCGTATCTTTGCTTTTTCTGCCTACCCAGGGTGCAGCATGGTTCCTTCAGGCAACTCGACAGGCTGTCTCACCGACCCCCAGCAAGTCCCCCACAGGGGCTTGCTGGGGGTCGTTGAGATGCTCAGTGGAGTTCAAGAAAGTATTTGTGTAGGGTTTAGGGTTTAGGGTTTAGGGTTTAGGGTTTATAAGTTTCCCGGTATATTTTATTCAAAGCAAGGTAGGATCCAAGGAGTGGGGGGCTTCGCTCGTCATCACCAGCAGTACTCCTCCCCGCCCACAGCTCCTTCTACGATTCCAGTCCTTTGCTGCCGCTGCATGCAAGAGGCTTCGGGGCCCTACCTGAACTCACCCACATAGAGGGGTAGCACCCCACACGAAAGTTTTCTGCGGTGAAGACTAGGAGGGGCCCCCACCGGGGCTTGCTACGGGGACAGTGAGGCACTCAATCAGTTACAAATATTATTATATTTGTAGCTGGGTTCTCTTTGGAGGCCCAAGCTGCGGAGATGAATGTGTTAGAGAGCTACCAAGTGCAGTTCAGCGGAGCTGCGGGTGAGGGGGAGATGCAGCCCGTGAAGGCCCTGGGATCCCCTGGGATCCGATCCCCACCAGTAGGGGTCCTGCTGGGGGGAGTTTCTCACAACCTCGTCTCTGCCGGCCCCGGGGGCCCTTGCCCCCGCGCGCCCGGCAAGCAGCCTGCGGCTGGAGGGGGAGCGAGCTGCTTTCTGTAGATTCTTTTTTATTGTAATAAATTTTCTTTGAGTGCAGCTACCGGCTCCCCTTGAGGAAGACCGAGGAACCCTGCTACACAGGAGGCTGCCTGTAGTGAATACTCCCTACAATCACGGCAGCAATGCCGTGCTCGTTGTTAAGTGAGTGAGATTTGTAT